TCCTGGTCAGCGGGGGGCCCTGGCTGCAACGCAGGACTGTCCGTCTCCCTCCAGGTTTTTCAGCTCTGCCTTGCCGCACTTCCTTCCAACTTAGCCACAGCCCCTTCCCCCAACACGAGCCGAGGGTTAACCTCCAGGCCTCCAGGGCTGCTGCTCAGCTTTGATCCAGGGTGGCCCATAAAGACCGGGAAAGTCAGCACCGGGTTCCCCCCCATATCTCCCGGCCGTCCTTTGGGCTTCAGCTCCGGTGCTCGCCTTCGCTTCCTGCGGTCGGGCCAGGCATCCCTTTCCCTTCCTAGAAAGAAATCTTTACGTCGAGAGCACACACACAGGGCAACGGATTTTACCGGCGGCAACTGTCAGTCCTTCATTGCCACAAAGTTTCTACTGGCCCACTGTGGAAAGAGGGAACAAAGGGCCCCTTTTTCTTGAACCAAACAACATTGGCAAGTGGGGGGAGGGGAGGGGGGGTGCGTTTGCATCGGAGGAGAATACCCAGAAAGTGGTGGGACTGCCACCCCCAGCGTCTCCAAAGATCTGAGGGGCCAAGAAGACCCAAGGGGAGGGGGGAAGAGACCCGCCCACGGGTGGCAGCCAGTCAACCAGCTGCCGGGATGGGAAGGATCAGGCACGCGAACGGGCCAACCAGCCCTGCAGCCTCTGAGCCAGACTCCTCATGCCGGTTTCGGGATCTTCCGGGGGAAGCCCGGGAGGCGAGCGGTGCAGTTGCCCCATGCAGCTTCCCGAGCAGAGAATGAACGGGGGGCAATTTGAGGCTGAGGAAAACAGGGCCCCCCAGCCCAGGACAACCCCTTGCCTCCCACAGCGTTACTGAGTGCGTCCCCTTCCCCATTGGTGGAACCTTTGGCTCAGAGGAACGCGAGACCCGGGCTGATTCCGCTCCCACGGGCGTCTCCTGGCCTAAGTCTTGCTCAGGGATAAAGGCCTCGTTTCAAACTTTGCTAGAAAAGCTTCCGTCACAAATGCCGCCGTCTTCTCCTTTGCTGGCAGGAAACCCAAAAAGTGACGAGCGCTTGACTGTTTTCGACATCCAGAAAGTAAATTGTTCAGGTGACTCATATCCGGTTCAGGATCCCTGGAAAACATTTAGTGGCACCGGAAGCTTTTAAAGAGATCTTCTGATTACAGATATGGGTTTTTTGATCATTCATTCTTCTTGGAAATAATTTATTATATTCAATATTCCATAGAGGCCCATTCATGAATGCATCCAACTGCTATAAGATCCTATGATCTAGTCAATACAGGAATCCAGTCAGGATGTAGCTGCAACAAGAATATGGCTCTAAAACAGAAGCCTCCTCTCCAAAATTCAGAAAGTAATTGTTTCTTTCTCCCCTGCGCTGCTGGCCAGACTCCACCAGGAATAGTGCCCTGTTGTTACCAAGCAAAACAATGGAACATATTATCAAGGAGACTTTCGCTAACATCTAGAAAAGAATTAATTTCTTGGCAGGAGCCGGGAGGCCTTAATCAGGAACAAGTTATGCCAAGCCAATGCAAACTCCCTGAGGAGAAGACCAGGGAAATGCAGGGGGTGTTGCTGCTGCCTGCCTGGACTTAGAGCCACCCATACGGGGAGATCTTACAAGTGCGATCCTAACAGAGAAGGTGGGGAAATGTGGGCTGGAATTAAGCTACCATCGGATGCATCCAATACAGGACTGGTTGGGCAAGAGCATCCAGGGAGTGTTTGTCAAAGGCTGGGCGTGAAAACACAAGAGAGTCTTGCACCATAAACTGCATTTCTAAGCAAGTGTTATTATATTCAATGTATTTGTAAAAGGCTCAGAAGTTAGTGCTGTAAAATTGGCAGAGGCCACAAGGACAGAAAACAGCTTTCGAGGCAGCATCAAGCTGAGCTCGAGCAATAAGCAGAAAATGAGTGGTGCAAACAGCTGAGAGACATAAGAAAAGGACCTCTGGGTGCTCGTATATACGCCAAGTACTGCAATCTACCTGCGCAAGAAAAACCAACCCACGGCTATGGAACAGGTGGGACCAGGCTCAACAGCAGCGACTGCAAGAGGGGTCTAGGAGCCCTAGTGGACAATCGCTTAAGTGTGAGCCAGCCGGGTGCTGCTGCAGCCGCCAAAAAAACCCCCAAGCCCTCTGCTGCATTAATCGAGGGATAGAATCCAGATAAAGTGTTACTACAACTTTATAACATGCCTTGGTAAGGCCACACTTGGAATCCTGCATCCGCTTTTGGTCGCCACAATATAAAAAAGATGTTGAGACTCTGTGTGCAGAGAACAACAACAAAGGTGATTAGGGGACTGGAGGTCAAAACATATGAAGAACGGTTGCAGGAACTGGGTTTGTCTAGCTTAATGAAAAGGAGGACCAGGGGAGACATGATAGCAGCCTTCCAATTTCTCAGGGGCTGCCACAAAGAAGATTTGGGGGTCAAACTATTCTGCAAAACACCTGAGGGCAGGTCAAGAAGCAACAGATGGAAACTAATCAAGGAGAGAAGCAACCTAGAACGAAGGAAGAGATTCCTGACCCTGAGAACAATCAACCCATGGAATGGCTTGCCTTCAGAAGTTGTGGGTGCTCCTCCATCACTAAAGGTTTTTAAGGGACTGTCTGAAATGGCTCAGGGTC